CCATAATATTTATTGATGTGTTTGACAACTGTATTTGAAATCAATCCATTTCTATTTTGTTCTAATATTTTTAAATCAACTGTTGGGTCTGTGAGTAACCATGGATGTATGTTTGGAAGTGGAACTGTTGGGCTGACATTAAGATCATCTATTTGACTTTCTGCTGACTTTTGATTTATGGTTCATCCAAAGTTTTTTGTGTGTTTCTTTTCTTTTTCCCAGCAAGGTTTTAATATTTCTTGTGTTGGATGGTTTTGTTTGTGTCCTTTCAGATTTGCCCAGTAGTTTAATGCTAATTGTTCTCTTCTGATGTTCAGTGATGGTTCTCCCATTTCTATTAATATTGATCCTGTATGTGTTGTTTTGAATGCCCCGGTAATAATCCTTAATGCCTGATATTGAATACTGTTTAACTTTTCTAAATTTGTTTCTGAAGCTGAACTATAAACTATACTCCTATAGTCTATTATTGATCTGATTAATCCTGTGTAGATGGTCCTTTGTGCTTTCCTGTCTGCTCCCCAGTCTTTTCCTGTCAAACACCTCATGATATTTAGAATCCCTTTACATTTGTCAATAACTTTTTGGATGTGCACTGTCCATGTTGGTCTCTCATCAAACCAGATGCCCAGAAATTTAAACTGTTTTTCTCTTTCAATTACTTTCCCATACAACTTGAGTTCATTATTATTAAGTATGTTTTTTCTTGGCAGCACGGTGGCGCAACTGGTAGAGCTGCTGCCTCTCAGCGAGCAGGTCCCTGGTTCAAACCCCGGTCCAGGGGCCCTCTGGGTGGAGTTTGCATGTTCTCTCCGTGCATGCGTGGGTTTTCTCCGGGTGCTCCGGTTTCCTCCCACAGACCAAAAACATGCATGTTAGGCTGATTGGTAACTCTAAATTGTCCCTAGGTGTGAGTGAGAGAGTGAATGTTTGTTTGTCTCGTTTGTCTCTATGTGTCCCTGTGATGGACTTGCGACCCGTCCAGGGTGTACCCTGCCCCTCGCACAGTGATTGCTGGACATGGGCACCAGCGACCCCCGTGACCCAAAATGGAATAAACGGGTAAAGAAAATGGATGGATGGATGTTTTTTCTTGTGAAAATTATTGATTTAGTCTTTTCTACTGAACATTTTAATCCCCATCTATTTGACCAGTTTTCAACTGTTTTTATTGCTTCCTGTACCTTTTTTATAATAAACTGTAGATTTTTACCTCTCTTCCACAAAGCTCCATCATCTGCAAATAAAGACCTTCCCATTCCTATTTCTACACCATCAAACATGTCGTTGATCATTATAGAGAATAACAGAGGGCTAACTATGCTTCTCTGTGGTGTCCCATTTTCTATGTAGTATTTGTCTGAGTAATCTTGTCCTATTCTCACCTGTATTTGTCTGTCTGATATATATATATATATATTTTTTTATCCATTTAAACATTCGTCCTGTGATTCCCATTTTTTTTCATTTTTATAAGTAGTCCCTCTCTCCACATCATGTCATATGCTTTCTCTACGTCAAAAAATACAGCTACCACACTTTCTTTATTAATCTGGGGTTTCTTGATCTCATGTTCCAGACACAAGACTGGATCCATCGTGTTTCTTCCTTGTCTAAAACCACTTTGATAGTTGGACATATAACCTTTTTTTTCTACATAATATGCTAGTCTTTCATTTATCATTTTCTCCATAATTTTGCAGATTTTAGATGTTAAAGCTTTTGGTCTGTAGTTCTCTGGTTTGGTGTGATCTTTTCTTGGTTTTCATATTGGGATGATTACTGCTTCTTTCCAAGGCTGTGGTATTTTTCCTTCTTCCCAGACTCTATTGAATAATTCTAAAATAATACCTTTTGATGCTTCACTGAGATGTTTAATCATTATGTAACAAATCTGATCATGTCCTGGTGCTGATATTTTACATTTTTGAAGTGCTCTGTTTAATTCTGTTTTGGTAAATGGTATATTTAATAAATCATTTTCTCCTTCCTCTTCTTCTAAAAATTTTCTATATTCTGTTAAGGTTCTCTCTCTTCCTCTTTTCCCTTCTTCGCTAATATTATTTGAACTATGAATTTTAATAAAAGTTTTTGCCATCATTTCTGCTTTCTCCTTATTTTCAACTGCCGTTACTTCTCCATCACTCAAAACTGGATACCCATACTCTTGTTTCACTCCATTCATTCTTTTAATCATCGACCAAACTTTACCTATTTCTGTTTCTCTTACCACTGAGCTACAGAATCCCCTCCAATATTCTCGTTTTGTATTTTTTATGGTTCTTCTTACAATGCTTTGTTGTTTTTTATATTCGATAAGATTCTGAGTATTATGATTCTTTTTTAAATTTTTAAATGCCTTATTTCTTATCTTAATTGCTTTTTCACACTCCTTTGTCCACCATGGGACAATCTTTTTGTTATTCTTTCCTCCTTTCTTCTTTATGGATTTGTTTGCTGCTTCTACAATAGATGAACAAATGGACATGTTTAATCGATTAAGTTATACGTCTAAATCTATTTTCCCCATCTCTCTGTCACTCGTTCCCAAAAATGTTGCCCAATTAGCGTTAGTGAAATTCCATGTATGTGCTCCCCGTGTGTCATATTGTCGTGTTTCTAAATCCAGTTTTGTTATTATTAACAAATTATTATTATTATTATTATTATTATTATTATTATTATTATTATTATGTTATTGTTAAAAAAAACTGTAGTATGCTTTTTTATAACTGTTTATTGTTGTTGCTGTTGTCCATTGTTGTCATCTTTCTTTGTTGAAATCAGGTCTCTCTTGTAAATGAGTCCTCGAGGCTCAATGGGATTTACCTGTATAAATAAAGGTTGATTGATTATGGGATGGTGATCACTGCCTATTGTGATGTCTTTAAGAACCTGCCATGAACTGATTCCTGCCAGTGAGTCTGAAACTAATGTGAGATCTATTGCTGATTCTGTTCCTGATGTGATATTTATTCTTGTGCTGCTTCCATCATTTAAACAAACTAGATTTTTATTATCCATAATATCCTCAATTATTAAACCATTGTGACTATTATGAGTATCCCATAATGCACTGTGCCCATTAAAATCACCACACCAAATTACTTTCCCATCTAAATGTGAAATAATATTATCCAGAGTTTCTATTGTCAATCTTTTACCTGGGTTGTAATAATTTATGATTTTGTTATTTCCATTTTTTGTCCATGTTTCAATTATTATAAACTCTAAATTTGATCTTAATAATCTGTGTTGAATTCCTTCTTTAATGAAAATAATACAACTCCCTCCCTTACCCTCCTCTCTATCTCGCCTTCTATTGGTATATCCTTTGATTACAAAATCTAGGTTAGAATTGAGCCATGTTTCCTGGATGCATATTATATTTGGTTTGTTTGTGATGTTTTTAATGAACCCTTTAAATTCCTGTCCGTTTGCTATTAAACGTCTGGCGTTCCACTGTAAGATGATCATATGGCCCTCTCTCCTGGTGTTCCCGTTTTCCCATCTCCCCCAAGTGTCTTGTTAATGTGTTCCCATGTTATGTCTTTGATCCCCAAAAACCTTTCTGATCCTTTCACTATGATCTTGATTTTTTCAGTTTTGTGTTTGACTTGGTCTGTACAGTTGATAACATAAGCAATAAACAACATGATCTTTTCTACTATAACTTACGACTCTGGTTTTGTTTGTTCTATCTGTGTTTGACTCGGTGTTACTACTTGTTGGGTTCTTACATTTTCTATTCTAACTTTCTGTCCTTGCACCTTTTTTACAGCTTCTGCATAACTGATGTTGTTGATTGTTTTTACCTGTTGAATTTCCACTGCCTTCTTTCTAACCTCACATCCCCCATATGTCACCCTGTGTTGTCCTCCACAATTACAGCACTTGTCTAGACTATCTTCTGTACATTCTTCATATTTGTGGTTTCCTCCACATCTTGGGCATCTTTGCTGTCCTCTGCACATTGAAGCTATGTGTCCATATCTTTGGCACTTGTAACATCTGACAGGTGGGGGAATGAACGGCCTGACTGGAAAACTTAGAAATCGTATTTGTATTCTTTCTGGGAGTCTCTCCATTTTAAACTCCAACATTATCGACAGCTTGGAACTCGTTCTCCATTAATGTTTCTTGTTAGTCTTGTCACTTTGTTAATTTCATATTCAGAAATACTCTTTTGGAGTTTTTCCAAGTCTTCATCCAATGGGATCCCAGTGATCACTCCCCTCGTTATTTTATTTTCTCCTATTATTTTCGTTTCTCTTACCTCCTTTTTACAAATGTTATCAATATGCATTACTTTATTTTTCTGCTCTTCTGTTTTCACTATTATCAACAAATTCCCGTCTCTAAGGATTTTAGCAAAATGTATTTCCCCCACTTTGTTTTTTAGACCTCTTGACTCTATGGGGCCTAATTGTGTATTTCCATCTTCTTTGAATTTTATAATTATTTTGAACTCTTCTCTTACCAATGTTTTGCTCACAACATTAGTTCCTTCATCTGAACTTATTTCATCTAAAGTTCGTTTTGTATTTGCAGCCCAACTTTTCGGCTTGCTTTTTCCTCTTCCTTGTCCTCTTCCAGTCACCTGAGTCCAATCATTCATTTCCATATCTTCATCGTCTACCTGAGTCGCCATTCCAGTCCAATCCACAACCAGCTTGTTCTCCACCGCCAATTTCAAAGAGTTTGCTCCTGAGTCTACAGCTGACACAGCACTCGCGATCGAGTCCCTCGGGTCCACTTCTCCTTCTGAGTCCCTGAGTCCTGAGTGTCCCGGTAAGCCCAACCAGCTGGTTCTGGTTCTGATCGCAGCCAGCTGACAACACATCAGCTGTTTGCATCAATTGATGGTGTGTTCAAAGACAATCAGAGAAACTTGTGTGTGTGTGTGTGTGTGTGTGTGTGTGCGTGTGTGTGTGTGTGTGTGTGTGTGTGTGTGTGTGTGTGTACTCACCCATTCCCTGCAGCTGTCTGCATGTTCTGCTTTGAATGTTTGGGTTTGGCAGCTGCTGATCAAACATTAAATGAGTTTAAAGAGACGAGCAGAACCGAGCTGTGCAGCAACACGTTAGACTTTAACAATCTTACCCTCATGTCTGCACTCGTCTTCAAACATAACCTTCTTTTCCTGTTTCAAGCACAAACTTTCATCAGTCAACAGCAACAGGACAGCTGCATGTTTTTCATGTTTATTTCTGTCAGGACGGCATGGTGGCGCAGGTGGTAGAGCTGTTGCCGCTCAGCGAGAAGGTTGCCAGTTCAAATCCCTGCCCAGGACCTTTCTGGGTGGAGTTTGCATGTTCTCTCGGTGCATGTGTGGGTTTTCTCCGGGTACTCCAGTTTCCTCCCACAGACCAAAAACATGCATGTTAAACTGATTGGTAACTCTAAATTGTCTCTAGGTGAGTGAGAAGCATCAATAAACTGTATGACAATAACAAAAAAACTTATTAAACTATCACAGGTACATTGAGATGGAGCTGGGAAAATATTCTTCATGCCAGTTGTCTTCATCTGATTTTTTGTAAAAATATGTCAGTATTTCTTTTCCATTAACATTTTTCTTCGCAGGACTGAGTTAATTTTCTTGTCTGTGAGTTTCTTCTGTCCTGCTTATGTATTTTTTTGTGTTCTAATTGCTCCCTCATGTTGTTCATCTCTGTTCCCTGACTGCCTGTTGATTCATCCTCCTGGTCCTGTTGATCCTGGATCATCAGTTCCTGACATGTCCCTGTCCTCTGAGGACACATTTTCATCTTTCCCTCATCTCACTCACCTCATTTCTGTTTCTTCCTCATTCTCTGAAATTACAGTGTCACTGTTAGAATGAAGATTTCTGTTCAATAAAAAATATGACATGTCTTATTGTAACACTGTTCATACCAAAGTTTAATTTAGAACAACATGTGTGATCACTGGTCAGATCACTGGTCAATGGATCAACATGCTGTGGAAGTTCTGCTGTTCTTCTCATTTGGTTCTGGTCCATGAACAAATGGCTGAACCTCCTTCAGTCTCACACGTCCTGACTGTGTCTCTGTAAACTGCCCTCTCTCTAAATGTGCCTGTAGAGTTACATTAGTTTATTTTCTTGCACATTTCTTTGACAGTTAAAAATTTTGAGCCCTGATTGAAAATGTTTGTGCAGATTAAATTTACACCTCTCACTTTGTGTTGTTGTGATGATGGTGTAAACAGTATAAATAGTAGTAAAAGTACTTTATTAAAGCTTGTTTTACATTTTACATATTTTATAATAAATTGTTTGGAAATTTATTTTTGCACAATTAACACTTATTTTGTCATCTGTTATGATTTTAACTAGAAACAGTTTCATTTAAATTAACATTTTAATCAATGAATTCCAATTTTACAATAGTTGTCAGGCTACAATCAACTCAGTTATCCAGGTACTTGGTTGCCATAAAAAATAAAAAAAAATACAACATTTATATTCAGGTCTCTCTTGTAAATGAGTCCTCGTGGCTCAATGGGACAAACCTGTTTAAATAAAGGTTGAATTAATATCTTCTATAGAAATCAAGAATTCATCCAGATGATCTGAGGTAAGCTGGAGCAGATCTGAACTGCTGCATGGAGGACAAGGTGGAGCATTCTCATGCAGAGATCATCAGAAATAGCTTTATAACAGGTGTTACTCTGATCTTTTTTTTTAACGTGTGTAACGTTATAAAACACTGATATGGCTATATTGATCATTGTATTGCATATAAAAAAAATTCAAACAAATATGTGTTTGCAGACTCGTTCCCTTGTAAAAATTTAATGATAAATGTATCAGCCGCTTCTAAAAATGCTTTGATAAAATGCATAGTCTGTGAAATAATCAGTAATCCGTTAAGTAACCAGTTTGTTACTGCTCAATAATTACTGAAAGATGTCCGGTAAAGTAAGAAAAGTCGATTTTTGTGTTATGTTGCGCTAGCAACCGCTCAAACTGACTGACAGGATGAACTGTTTGGAACTATTGGGAGCTGCATGAACCACGTGACCGCGTATCGGCGAGTTCAAAGAGTGTCGCAACTCTCTCTTTATAGGGCTCTGCCCCGCCCCTCGCACAGGGATTGCTGGACATGGGCACCGGCAACCCCCGTGACCCAAAATGGAATAAGCGGATAAAGATAATGGATGGATGGATGTTATTGCTCTTTGAAACCAAATTATGGAGTCATTATTGTGAAAACAAATCAACATTGGTTCTGTGTGTTTCTGTAGCAGCAGCTCTCGTTAATATGTAACTCTTTATGAAACACTTATGATGCTGAGACTATGAAGGGGCGTGGCTTACATGAGCAAGGGGCAGAGCTTCAGCTTGTTTTTCCTCCCTCTGATCGTCAGCGTGGTTGGATGGAGGTTCAGGTGGCTGAGGAACAACTTTTACCACCCAGCTCAACATCCTGAAACAAAACAAACTAAAAATAAAATACTGCAACACAACATTACTGTTCTTTATCTTCCGACTGCTCCTTCTTCAGGGGTCGTCACAGCAAGTGAACTCACATGAAAGATTTAGCAATTATAACAAAGTTCATGCTCAATCATCCAGGTATCATATCCAATAATTCTCAGTCAGGTCATCTGGACAGTTTCTTTTTTATAGCGACGTTTCGCCTTCTATCCAGAGGGCTTCATTAGTCAGAGGAGTTCCAGTAAACTGTTTCCCACTAAGCAGAAAACTCCTTAAGTAGACCAATCAGTTTGCTGGAGCTCAGATTGTTTCTGGGGGCCATCCTTTCCCCCGTCGACTCTTCTCAGGCAGGCAGCCACAGCCAAAGTGGTTCAAAGCAACAAAGTTCATGTTCAATCATCCTATAAAAAAGAAACTGTCCAGATGACCTGACTGAGAATTATTGGATTTAGCAATTATTTTCCACCAGATGTTCTTCCTGATGAAACCTGGGCTCAAACCTGCAGCTTCAGGATGACAAGATGACCCCTGAGCCACAGCAGCCCTCAGAGACACAATACTGTTTGACAGTTGGTTAACTTTAAACTTACAATTGTTTAAACTTTTATTATTTCACACTTTAAATTATTTTTCACAAAAAAGGTGGCGTGATGGTGCAGAGGTTAGAGAAGGTGGGCCTGTGTTCAACAAGTTGCCGGTTCAACTCCCCGGACCGACAACATCAAAATGTGGGTGGGATAGGTAAAATACCCACACCTGCCTCCACCCTCATTTGCCCCACTCTGGGCCCTTGAGCAAGGCTCTCAACCCCCTCCATCTGCTCCCCTGGGCACCCTAGATGCAGCTCTCTGCTCCACACAGAGGGCTGTGGTAGCTCGGTGGTCTGTAGTTGCATCAGGAAGGACATCCGGCGTAAAAACAATTGTCAAGTCTTCATGCGAGTTAGATTGATGTGATGACCCCTGAAGAAGGGAGCAGCCGAAAGAAGAAAAAAAAGATACAGATTTTTATTTGTTTGCATATTGTCACACTGTGATGCCCCATTCTGCTACCTTAGGTACAAACTGCACCAGATTTTCATCCAAATTATTTGAAAGTTGAATATATTCCAGGATTTGGTTTGGGACTTGCCATTAAGGGGGATGGTTGGTGCTGAAGCCAGACCAGTTCAGAGGCACTGGTTTAAAGCATAGAATAAACTCTGACTTCTGTAGAAATAAATTTTGACATGAAAATTGAACTCTTGTTTCTCAGCACTCACCATAAATTATAACTCATCCAGCAGGATAATTCAAGAAATCCATTTTCCATCAAAATCCATTGACTTCTGGTAAGATGGTGCCCGTGTACATGGCTTGCAATCCATCTCTGCTGATGGTGTTCGGATTATTTTTGTTTTTTGCATTTCTCATCTGTGACATCAACTCTCTGCTGGTGTATGACAGACAACAACTTTTGGATCTTCGTTTTTCTGTCACTGAAGTCGCTTATTTGGACCATTATCAGCATACCTCTGGACACCCCCCTCCCCCCCTCCTTGCTGGCGGACGTGCCAGCTTATCTTCGCTGCGCTCCTCACCTGCCTGCCCAGAGATATTGCTTTAGACGCCGGGGAAAACGTACTGGTCAGCTGGTGAAGCTGAAAGCTATGCGCGCTGCATCTTCCTCTCCTGTGTGCCCGGACCAGGTAACCAGCTTTAGTTGTCAGCCGGTGCGCAGCTCGGACCGACCTGGAGGGGCTGTAATTGAAAACTTGCGGCCATTACTGCGCGCTAACTCCCCCGCTGCTAGCTCCACTTCGGACAATATCCGGATGTGTTTGGTCAACGCAAGATCTGTTACCAACAAAACTTTTATCCTCAGGGACTACTTTCAAGAGCACGATTTGGACTTTTTGTGCATCACAGAGACTTGGATGTCTCCGGGTGAGTCCAACACCTTGACGGAATTACTGCCACCGAACTGTTTGTATTTTAACGCACCGTGGCCATCAGGCCGGCGCGGTGGTGGATTATTAACAATATTCAAATCAACTTTTGACTGTAAACAACTGCCCATCCCAGTTTCTTGCACCAGCTTTGAGCTGAGCGTCTTTGAACTCGGACATTCACGTCCGACGTTATTTGCACTTGTCTACCGCCCACCTCGGTCTAAGGATTTCATAAATTAGTTTTCTGACTTCTTGGCTGAAATCACACCAAAATATGAGTATGTTTTCATTATTGGGGACTTTAATTTGCACATGTGCTGTCCTGAGAAGCCCTTGGTTAAGCACTTTTTAGATGTATTAGACTCATTTAATTTAACTCAGTGTCAGGATCAGGTGGACAGGAACGAACCCAGTAGTGCAGACAGGACTCAACTCGGCAGATTACAAAAATAAGTATTTTAATGATGAAGTAAAAAGGTAACAAAACAATAAGCTGACGTGGCAACAAAACTTACATGACTCAGGAAGCTCAGGGAAAATTCAGAAGACGCAGGAAACATGAAGACCCAACGAATACGACCCGACAAAGGAACAACACAGGACAGGAGGTTTATATACAAGGACAA